ACAAGAGGAGCTATATCTTGACACTCTAAGTTGTAAAAGTATGTTGCTTTGTCAACTACAAAGGCTGAATATATTGTAGCAATCGAAGTAGGTAAAGAAATGCTTTGGATGAAATATTTTCTTCTTGAATTAAAGTTGAATCAGAAAGAATATATGATATTTTATGATAGTCAGAGTGCTTTAGATTTGAGCAAAAATATCATATACTATGCTAGGATAAAGCACATTGATGTTAGATATCACTAGTTACATTCAATGTTGAGGAGCAACATATACTATTGAAGAAAGTCCATATAGATAAAAATACAGCAAATATGTTAACTAAGATATTTTTCAAGAAAAAGCTTGAGCTTTATAGTAACTTGACCAGAATGAGTTCTTTGGCCAAAGTAAGTTTTCAATGAAACTGCTATAGTGATGAATCTCCTCCTAATGATGCTAGAGGGAGACATTGTTAGAAAAATAGGCTCTAGCCCTATATAATTGATTTTGAACCAATTAAAGACCATAGGGCTTGATCTTTCTTTCTACACAGAGCCCTAGCTACTTAATAAAAAGAGGTAGGACTATTTTGAGGTGGAGTTGCAAAAACCAAGAAGAAAAAAAAAAGCTAAAAAAAATTAAAAAAAAAAAGAAAGAGTTAGTTGAATGAAAGTCAATTCGTGATCCGATTGAACTAAAACTTTGTCATCATGTTTATGATTCAGAGTTTTACATTTTGAATGGTGAAGATCGAGTTTAAAGCTCTCTAGAAATAAATTCATTGTATATTTGTTGAGTCACCTATTTGGTGAGATTTCTTCAATTAGCTCTGTAGTTGTTGATTAACTCTAGTTTTAGCTCGAGAAGAACTTTGTATATCCATTGTTTGATAGTAAAAATTTTTTTAGTGGTCCGTGATTTTTCTTTCTACACTGGAGGATTTTTCATGTAAATATTCGTGTGCTTTATTTTATTTTTTTTACGTTTTTTATTATTGATTGTTGTCTATTGTTATAGGTTTATTGTGATATATTCTTCAGCATTATTATTTTTATTGCTTCAAGCCCAATAGAGTTAAGGGATTTTCTTGTAGTTGTGAGATTGAGAGGTTGCTATTTAGTCTAAAAAGTAGTGTCAAGTTGCTATCTAAGCCTAGGAAAAAGATAGAGTTATAATCTTTCTTCAATTAGTATATTGAAGCCTTGGCGAGGACAACTAAGAGAAAAGATGTAGGTGCCTTTAGGAGAAAGCCTGAACCTCTATAAATCTTTGTGTTTGATCTTTTATATCCCAAACCTATTTCTGATTATTATTGTTTATATTTGTTTCTAGGCTTATTAATTGTTGTTGTTTGCCACATAATTTTCATTAATGAGCTTATTGTTTTAATTTTTCATTCAATAATTTTGAAATCGTTATTTGAAAAATATTTAGAGAAATCAAATTCTCCCATCTTGGATCAACATCTCACCTAAAAAGTTAACAATTAGCGTTAAAGCTTTGGTCTCTTTTTATAGATTTAACCACTTTAAGTAAAGATTATATGATTTAATTTAAGATCCAAGATGATAAGACAGTCCTCAAAGCTCTCACGATTGAAAGTTTTAAATATTATGAATGAAAAATGAGAATGAAAGAGTTCATCATGTCACAAAATGTTGAATGTGGTCATCGACCGGATGTTTTTAAGTGCTACCATTGCTTACATCATGATTTATGTTAGATGCTATATCAATTGTTATTTTATCTTATTTAAAAGTAGTACTTTGTCAATTTTAAGTTGTAGATTTTTCATTAGACTTTGAACTTGGCATGTATCATCTACTAAGTCTTTATTAAAAGATTCCTGAAAAAAACACTTTTGGAGAATATAAGTGAAAAAAAAAATTACAAAAGGAATCGAAAGGTTGCCTAATTAAGTATTAGCAGGTGATAGATTTGTTAGGAATAATGACTCAAATCCCATAAGAGATTTGTTTGAGATTTGTCAGATATTGCTTGATAGACAAGAAGACTTGCAAAAGAAGAATTTTAAGAGAAAAGAGATTCTTAATAGGTAAGTTTGACTTGCAAGAGAAGAATTCTAAAAGGAGAGAGATTCTTAATAGACAAGTTTAACTTACAACAGAAGAATTCTAAGAGGAGAGGGATTCTTAATGGATAAATTTGTATAGTTATAAATATGTGAAGTCTTTACAGGGTTAGGTATGAAAAAAAGATGTAAGAGAGTTGTAAGACTTTGTGATATAGATACCCCATATGAGTATTGGGGCTCTACGTCTTATGGGTGTGTATGTTTGTTTGTGAGTAAACTAGAAGAGACTGAGAGGGTCCACATAGGTATGATGTATGAGAGAATATGAGTGTGTTTGGTTATGTTGAAAGGGTACACAAGGGTTTGGGTTTATGTTTGTTTGAGTTTAAAATACTCCATAAGACTAGAAGAGATTGAGAGTCTTATGAGTATTGATTGTTGAGTGAGGTTGATGATTTAATGTATGTTTGTAATTCTCTACAACTAGTGGATCTTGTTTCTCATTCGTGGATGTAGGTCAGTTGGATCGAACCATGTTAAATTGTTACATCTTGTGTGTTTGATTTCGCTTCCGCTAGTTTGATTGGATTGAAAGCTTTTAACCCAACAAATGGTATCAGAGCTGTGGTGTTCCCTAACAAATGATATCAGAGCTGTGGTATTTCCTAACAAGTGGTATCAGAGCTGAAGGTTCGAAATGTAAGAAGATTGAAGAGTCAAGATGTGAAAAGAGCCGAAGATTCGAGACATGAAAGAGCTAAAAGTTCGAGATGTGAGAAGAGCTAAAAGTTTGAAAAGTGCATGATTTGAGACGAGAAGAAATAAGTCCAGAAGAGCTCGATTCAAGAGAAGAGTTCGAGTTTAAGTTTTGAAAATTGATGATTAGTTTGTATGAAGCGTGAAGACATAAGAGAAGAGAAGATGATTGTGAGAGTTCTATTGCAGGCGAAGATAAGCATGTCTAGCATGAAGACAGATGATTGATGAAATTTGAGTCAAGGTGAAGATTGTTTGAAATATTGACTCAAATCCCATAAAAAATTTGTTTAAGATTTGTTTGAGATTTGTTTGAGATTTGTTAGATATTGCTTTATGGATAAGAAGACTTGTAAAAGAAGAATTCTAAGAGAAAGAAGATTCTTAATAGGTAAATTTGACTTGCAAGAGAAAAATTCTAAAAGAAAAGAGATTCTTAATAGGCAAGTTTAACTTATAGGAGAAAAATTTTAGGAAGAGAGGGATTCTTAATGGACAAATTTGTATGATTATAAATATGTGAAGTCTCTACAGGATTAGATATGAAAAAAAGATGTAAGAAAGTTGTAGAATTTTGTGAGAGAGACACCCCATAGGAGTATTGGGGCTCTACGTCTTATGAGTGTGTATGTTTGTTTGTGAGTGAACTAGAAGAGACTGAGAGGGTCCACATAGGTATGATGTATGAGAGCATATGAGTATGTGTTTGGTTATATTGAAATGATGCACAAGGGTTTGGATTTGTGTTTATTTGAATTTAAAATACTCCATAAGACTAGAAGAGATTGAGAGTGTCTTATGAGTATTGATTGTTAAGTGAGGTTGATGATTTAATGTATGTTTGTAATTCTCTACAACTAGTAGATCTTATTTCTCATCCATGGATGTAGGTCAGTTGGATCGAACCATGTTAAATTGTTGTCTCTTGTGTATTTGATTTATTGTTTAATTTCGCTTTCGCTAGTGTGATTGAATTGAAGGTTTTTAGCCCAACAAGATTAATAATTCAATGGTTTAGATCAAACTTTTATTTTTTATTTGATTTGATGGAAAGATCAATGCCTTTTATATTGGTTTTCTTGATATATTGAATTTATCATAACACATTTTAAAAAATATAATAATATAGTAATATAATATTAATAAAAAGGATCAATTCATATAATGTAAAACTAAAAAGGTTTTACACATTTTTTTAATAATTGATCTCAATAGATCAAAAAGATGAGAGAGATATGTAAAAAATTAAAAAAAAAATTAGTTTAATCTCATTCCTTAGATGCATTAAAATAAATAATTAAAAAAAAGTATAAAATTTTTAGTTTTATACTATGTAAGTTGATTCTTCCTCAATATTAATATATCAACTATTATACACATGTTATCAATAACATACAATGAGTGAATATGTGCTTCAATATTTATTTTACGTTTATTTCCTCTTCTCTTTATTTCTTTTTTTAACTACAAGATTTCTTTTGTATTTTTTATATTTCATTGGAATAAAGTAGCTCTTGATTTATGTTACTGAAATATTTCCACATTAGGAGAACTAATCTGAAACCTTTTTGCATAATATTATCTTCTAATTGATGTTATTTGACAGCTGTTATTGAAACTTGAATATTTTGACAATAATAGAATTTTGCTTAAGGTCATCAAAGTACTTCATTTTTTTTCTCATACAACACTGTTATGTTTGTGTTTTGTATGTGATTGATGTTGTGTTTAATTTATATTCAAAGAGCAAATAGTATTGTGGATAAAATAGGATGCATCAACTTTGCAGACTTTGGTGCATCCAACAAAATTTTGGAGCTTTTAAGGAAGCTATATAACTTTTTGCTCATGAATGATCATACTTTTTCAAATATGTCTTGAGATTATTATATTATAATGGTTATTTTCTTAAAATAATGGTTTCATCTACTTCATGTTTGATTCAACTAGCTTTGAGATTAGATTAGAAACATTTTCATTTGTTTAGAAAGGTTTCGGAAGGTTTTTTGCAATTAATCTAAAATCCAGAAAAAAAAAAGTTAGGGATCATAAGTGGAATTCACCGCTCTACCGAGTTTGTATTCTCAAACATGGAAAAATTCAAGAAATCTTGATGTGCATTTGTTATTAGTTTAAATGATTATTGATTTGAGGCTATAGACAAAACAGAATCAAAGAGAGACATAAGATTTTAATCAGTCCCTACCAATAAGCTAAGATTAATTACCTGGGCATAAAAGCTTCGATGATCATTCTCGCCGGCTAAGTGGGAAACATAATTTTCATGTTTCTGAAAATTTTTGCCTTGAACTTTCAAGTACTGGGAAATCATCCCCTCAATTATGCCTGTCAAGTGTCTATTTTCCGCAGCTACCCTTGCATACTCCTTCTACAAGCATTTGTTTTCAACATTCAGTATAATATTTGCACAATAGAAAGCTAAACTAAAAGCAGAAGAGGGAAGCATCAAATCACATTAATGGAAATGATATCATATTTTATTGATTTATAGTTATAATTATATGCTAAAAGAAAAAAAAAAAACAGCATAGAGAAATAGAGAAAGATATTTCTTTACCTTCTTTTTTTGCCTATTCAGTGCATTATTTTTTCTCTTATTTTTTCTCCTTTGAAAAAATCTTCGGTGTTGTTGGTTTGAAGCTTCAGATTGAGCTACTTGTGGATGCATCCCTGAGCCAAATTGTTCCAATTACTTTGGTTATTGCTATAGAATTAAATTAAAATATTTAATTTAGACAATTGATTGATTTTACAAAAAAAAAATCATAATAAATAATCCCCTTAATCTGTTTGCAGAATAAAAAAGAGAAAGATCATGGATGATTAACCAAGAAGTGAGTCAACTAAAGGTCAACTTTAAGTCAACTCTACCCATAAAAGCAGGGAAATGCAGAAAAAGAGATGAAATCAACAGAGAATGGGTATAGATAATCTCCATAGAATAGAAGAAAAAAAAAAAAAAGGAAAAGAGAAGAAACTGATTCAACTTTGGTTCATTTCTATAAAAGAAGCTAATTTAACACGAACAAGGATAATCAAACACTTACCTGAGAAGCTGATTTAACAAGAACAAGGAAAATCAAACACTTACCTGCTTCAGAATCCTAAAATCAAGCTCCACTACCCTTTACTCTTCTTATCAGTAACAACTTGCAAATTAAGTAAAATCTTAAAGGAATCAAAAGACTTCCAACGACAAAAAAGTCAAGACTCAGAAAAGACTTGCTGTTGAACTTGAACCATCCGATTAGGCCCCACGAAGATTATTGGAACCGTTAGATCATAGATGGCGAGAAAAAAGCGCAATCCTTTTTGTTTAACAGCGTCTGGTGCATTATTACATTTCAATCGCACGATAGCCTCAAGTGATCGAACGTTTTTAACCTCCGTTCCGCGTTGCCGAATGTGCTGGAATCTTTAACCCTTCTTCATATTGTTCCCTAAGGATACTTCATTGCAAAGCCTTTTTTTTTTTTTTTTTAAAAAAGAGTATTATGTTTGCTGTTAGTACTATGATTTTGTGGAGATGGATAAATTGATTCTTCTTTGAACTTATTTTTGCTTGCTTTAGGGAAAATTAAGTCTAAAACTATAAATGTTAAAATTCGCTATATTGGTATCACTCACTCGTAATTGTGTAAAATTTGCTATTCTTATGTGACCATAATCTGAATTTGAAAACTCCTACACTTTCACTTTTATATTAAATCCTTTTAGGATTGACTTTTACTGCTAAATGTAAGGAAAACATTCATAGAGTGAGATAAAAACTATTTTTACAACAGATAAAATAAGATATCGTAAACATTTTTAGAGATCGTTAAATAAATTTAAAAATAAAAGAAATTTATAAATTTTTTTAATTAGGTATAATTAATTTTTTATTAAAATTTAATATTTTAATAAAAATTTAAAATTAATTAAAATTTATAAAAAATTAATTTTTTAGGTATATAAAAATAGTTTAAGTTCAAGAATCGATTATGCATATGAAATGATTAACATTCTCACAGCGTCAATCTAAAACGATATTAATTAATTATGTTTTATTCTTTAATTTTGACTAAAAAATTTTAATTTTAGTATTTAAAATTAATTTTTTTAATTTTTTTATTGTAATAATTTTAATAATTTTTTATTATTCTAGTTTATTCGAGAAAAATATTAAAACTTTGTTATTGAAAAAAAAAATCTTAAAATGACCCAATACATTAGTAACATTTAAAAAAAATTTCTCATATAGAAAATTTTAGAAAATCATTAATCGAATTTTTCAAATATCTCAACTTGATTGTTCATATTTATCTTCAAGATTTATATATGTAATAAAATACGATAACTATAATTTAATCCAATAATATTAAAATTTTTCATTTCTTATTCTATTTATTAAAAAAGAGAAATTTTTATTGAAAATTATTATAAATGCTTCAATATATTGACGACATTTTAGATAAATTTTATTACCTAAATGTTATTTAAAAATCATTATTTAGATTTCTTTAGGTCTTATTTTCGGAGATTTTATTTATTATATATATTTTAATATGATGTACATGGATTAATTTGTGATACTATTACATTATATAAAAGTTCACTTTTATAAGTGAAAAATAAATAAGAATTTTTTATATTGAAAACTATTCTAAATATTCTAATTTTTTGGTAATTTTTGTAAAAAACTTTTCTCACTTAAGGAATTTTAAAAAATCATTATCCAAATTTTTCGGAGTCACATCATCAAAAAGTCATTTAATTTTTTTCAGATTCTACAATAAAAGTTTTCCCAAAAATAAAAATAAATACCAATAATAAAAAAAAAATTAAAAATATTTATTTTCATAAGCGTTATTATTTATTTTAATTACATTTTTTTAAAATATTTTTTTGGTAAAAAAAATTAATAGGTAGATAGATTGCTCAATTTTCAGATCAGGAGAAAATGTGCCATACCTAACAACCTAAGACATGTGACTGCAGATCGTATATTCGAGATGACCTCAACAAATGACTATCGACAAAATTCGAACCCAAGACCTCTTAATCGAGAAAATCAATCATTTGTTGGTATTTTTTAAAAATATTATTGACATAATATAAAACGTGCTAATAAAAATCAAAATAAAAAAGTAAGAAAATTATATCTAAACAAAACCTTCACATTGAAACCCAAAATAACGTGTCCACCAAGCCAAAAATTGAAGCCCAACATCCTTCAACAAATGGTCCAGATGGATAAAACCTTAGGAGCTGATCATGAGTTTTAGGTTGAATTCAAAATCTAAAATTTTGCATGATATAAGCAAAGCAAGCTTTATTCCATCAAAACATATAAAAATCGTCAAGACCATTGTAGAAAATAAGTTTTTACATATTTATTTGCTCCATTTCGTTCATTCTATTTTGCCTTCAATTATCCTCTCCCTTCCGATGATTTCATTATATTTTGTTAATTACCTTTCAATATATCTTAAATCATCATTGGTATGACTTTCATAATTTCAATTTGAGTCTAACGTACACATATAAATGGTGATAATGAAAATATTAAAAAATAATTGACCCAAAAAATAAAAAAGGAGCTCAATCCAGCAAATGGATGACAGAATAGTATAGAATGATAAAAGATTATCTCCAACGAAGGATAAAAATGTAGTTGGCATAACATGCATGAAAATCTTGGATTTAATAATTAATATAGAAGATCAAATTCATACTTTGTCTGCAAACTCAAAGGCCATTGTTATTACATACGACAGACGTCAAGTTGGAATAGCAAATACCCAAACATGCAATACAAGCAAACCATTGTACTTTTACACAAAGATGAATGTAGCTGTTGGAGATCAGATCAAAACGTATTCTTGATCCCTTAACCTAAAAAACTTTAGTTTTTAAGTTAGGGTTCAAAAATAGGTTTCAATTTAACCTCTGACAATAGGCCACTTTGTTGGATGCGTGGTGAGAGTCTATTGTACGTGCCATCTTGAATGAACTCCTATAGCGACACCAACAATCAGATGAGAGTCGTCTCTCACACCACGTATCCAAACTAATCAAATGTTAAAAGAGTTAAACATGTTACGCTCGGCACATAAAACACAGTACGGCAAGGTGAGTAAACCGTACTGTTGTTCAGGTAACGACCGTAACCTAGAAAACTCCTTAACATCAGAAACTTGTGAGAAATTAGTCCATGAACAACTTCATAAACCAGATAAAGAGGGAAAAAAAAAAGGGCCCAAAATTAAAGAACCAACACCTAAAATAGCTAGAAATGTAGAAAGTTCTTGGTGCTTGAGCACTGGAAGGATCACGCGAATAAACCATCGCTGACAGACTTGCCATAGAAGTCTTTTGCATAAGCAATATAGTCTTTGAAATCCTGGTACGTCTCCGCACGCTCCTTGTTCAAGGCATCCAATTTGTCACCTATGCTCTGAAGCTCTTGGCTTCCTATGCAGCCAAAATAAGCACGAGCAATTCTCTTCAAATGGTGCATAGCAAAAGCGACTTTGAAATTGATGCGAAGAGCATCCTTAATAGCATCCCTCCATTTCAACAGTTTTTTCTCTGTAACTTGATGAAGCTTTAGATCCTCCATCTCTTTAATTGTAGCACAGAAAAATAGATAGATTTTCTCGGTAACACTTGAGTTCTTTAAACACGGAGCAGAAACATCACCATAGACATTGGTGATTCTTTCCACAGTAGAAACTAAAGACAGTGGGAAACTGTATCTTCCAATTTTTTTGTGCTCCCCATCAAAGCATACCATAAAGTCGGAGAAATCATTGCTGCTTGCAACATCATCATCAATTTTCTTTAGAAATTCACTCATGGTGCTTTTCTGGATGGTCTGAGAATTCTTTGGATTTTTCACTTCGTTAGACAACGGATTGTCTAATTCATTAAGTGCCAAACCATTCATTACATCCAGCTGAAATAAATAATTTTGGGATATACATCTCATAAGTCTGGAGTTATAAGAAAAATATTATAATTAAGTAAAAAAAAACATGTATGTGATAACATTAATAAACATGTAAAGATAATATTCAAGTAGAAATATCTAAAAGATACTCTCAAAAGTAATGATAATCTTTTCAAATTTCTCAAAACAAATGCATTCAACACAATTATATAGCCCGCGCATTGTTGATCCTTCAAATTATAATTAAGAAACAGAATTACCATCAATAAAATCACACGATATATATATATATATATGATAGCATGTTAAATCCTGATTTCTTCTTGTTTCTTTTTTCTACATACTACAGTTTTGGGGCTTGATGGAGGTTTCAATTTTGTCATTAACTTGACTCACATTTGATCTCCTTTATATGGTGATTTTTGGTTTCCTGAATATCATTCAAAGTCCAATTTTCAAATTTGTGGTTTAATTTCTCAAGTGCGCATTTTATATTTAATGTGAAATAATTAAAGAAATAGTGAATTCTTACATGCATAGATGTATTAAATATAAATTTGTTATTTTTACATGAGTATATTTGTTCTCATAGATTTGTCAATTCTGATTTGAACTCAAAAAATTCATTCAACTCACTTGAATTCGACTCAACTCAATTTGACTATAAAAAATAATAACCTGAACCCGTCTAATTTGAATCAAAATAATCTGAAGCTGAAATAACTCGAACTGAAATGATCCAATCCAAAATGATACAAAAATTAATTCAAAATAATTCGACATTAAATTAAGTATAATTTTATTTTAAAACATTAATTTAATAAAAATAATACAAATAAATATAATAAATATAATATAAATGATAACTTATAAAAGTTATTGAAAATATTAAATTAATATATATTTGTAATATCAAAATAATATAATTTTTATATATGTTATGTTATTTATAATTTTTTTATAATTTATAATATGATTTAAAATAAATTATATATTTTTAATTTTCATAGGTATATATATCAATATATCATTTAGAATAAATTATATAATCTTTTATAATTATACATAAGTATCAACTATCATATGAATTAAAATAAATTAAAATATATAAACAAGCCATTGATTTGTATATATATCATGTTTATATTATAATTATATTATGAATTTTTAATCATGTAACTTAAAAGTTAAATTATCTACTGAGTTACAATTAATAAAATTCAAAATAATAAGCTATTGAATAATGAGTACAATTATACTAAAGTCATTATTTATATTGTAACTATATTATTAAAATTAAAAATAATTGCATATTAAATGTGCATTATAAATAAATATTTAAAATAATTTTTACATAATTATATTAAAATATGTAATTGTGTATTATAATTAAAACATTAAATATTTTTATATATTTATATTAAATTAAAATAAATATAAAAAACTATTAACCGTATCAAAATGTGACAAATATGTTTCCTATGTTTATTATATGTAATCATATAACACAGTTTAATTAAATATATTTGTGTCTTACATTATTGACATACTAAATATAAAAAATATATTTCTAAAAACTCATATAATTTTTTCGTATCGTTTTAATATAATTTCATTGTATCATATTTAAATTTGTCAAAATATAATCAAATCATATTTTTTAATTTATATACAAATTAAATTAATTTAAAAAGATACAAATTACTATATTTATATTTATTTTTAATTTTTTATCTTTTAATAAAAACCATACTTTTAATTTTACTAATTTCATCTCAACTTTGACCATTAATCATTGTGTTGCGTGTCACCATTTGTCCTTTCCTCTGCTTTTTTAATCATTATAATTGTGTGAAGAAAGACAGAGTTGGTTAAAGAGTTTGATCTTAAAAGAAAGAGTAGTTAATGGTAAGACAAAAAAAATTTTGATAGAATAAAAAAAAATTTAAACCCTTCTTTGATTTTTTTGGGTTGCCACGATAATTTCTCACTTTTTGGTATCATGGATCACCAAAAGGATTTTTTTCTACAGGCTTAAGTTTTAGCAATTCGCAACAGTCATTAAGGAGTTGATCGATTGTAACCCATTAAAGAAAGGTACCCAATTTAGTTTCCCAAACTTTTGTTGGGTATTTTCGATCGATCCAACCTTTGGATTCGTTTTTTACTCATTTTTAATGAAAAATATTTAGGATCTTACTTTAGCTTTTCTTTTTTGTATTTGTAAAAGAAAAATGATCTAAGTGATAATTTTAGTTTTCTATTTGATTTTGGTTTTTTTTTTTTAATTAATAGTAATATTTTTGAAAATATTGATGAAATGGCAGGTTGCCTTAGCCGTTAAAGGTAATAGTTTTAAAAACAATGATATTTTCATAATGATATTATGATTTGAAGCGAAGGAGAGAATATCTCTGTTGTATCTTAAGTGGTAATAATACCTGACTTTAACTTCTGAAGATGATACTTAAACATTTAAACGTTGGAACCAATAAGTTATATTTCCTAAATTTTGTATAGTCATTATTCTATGTTGCGAATGGGAAGCTAGAACTACACCTGCTTCTCTAATGTATTTATTTAATTGTTTATATGTTACTCAAAAGTGTACTTTAAAACTTTATACTTAGTATATCATGGAATTACTACAATAAGTAAATATTTAGGACGAAAGATTAGCTTAACTTTTTCTTATTTTTTAGCTTCCATTGTTTGACACGAAGAGTAACATGGCTGTTATGGTTATATGACAGGGAGGAGCAATCAAGGATAGACATGACATCTAGATTTTACGTGCTATTCGAATCACGTAAAAAGTTAATATTTTATTTAAGGCAATGAATCTGTTTATTATGTTCTATACTGGTTGAGCAATTTAGTTCTTGAAACAAAAAAACGATCTATAACAATCATGAAAATTATCTAAAAATGTTAAACATATACGGCTAGCTCCTGCTTACGGTAAAGGTTTATAATGTGAACTTACTTAAATTGATCCTTATTTTAAAATAAAAAAATTAAACTAAATAAACTTAATTAAGATTTTTAAAAGAATTTATTTAATACATGCTTTTAAATTTTATTATTTTTTGTACTAAATAAATAATATATTTTTCAAAGTGTAAACAAACTTTTTTTTATATTTCTTTATTTCTCAAATCAAAATATTCTTTAAACATTATTTATTTGAACTTAAATGAAAGTCCAATTATTACTTTTAAAGTAAACTTATTCATTTTGAACTCAATACAATTTTAATAATATTGATTAACTTATAAAAGTTGTTTTACTAGAATAAAATTTTTTAATATTGAACTTATTTATTTTTTTTTTGTATTAATTCATAAAATTTTAATATTTAAATTTTATATTGTTGGAATGCTCTTTGAATCTACTTTCTAATGGATCAAATAAAATTAAAATTCAAATTTTCTAAGAAAAAATTTTAAATTTTTACTAAACACTATATGATTGTCTAAAAACTGTACAAGAGATAGTTTTGAAAATTTATTATAATTTGAATACAATGAATTAGATGATGAACTTTATATGAATAAAAAATCTTTAAGTCTAGTTTCTAAATGTTCAATCAATTTTTGATTTAAACTTGTATAACTTAAGATATGATCAAATTAGTGAGTAGACTACAAAACAAGCGACAACTAGTGGCACTATTCATCTAGAATAATTCAGCATCCAAAATCTAGCTGACCCAATCGATCGGGTACCAAAACCAATCGATCCCTCAGCTGTAACGATAAAAAACTTAGTGAAATTCAAGAACCAGTCGATTCCCTATCAAAACCAATCAATCCTTTCATCCCAAACAAGCTCCGACGACTAGTTTCAAAAGAAAAAAATCATGTGTTTTCATTTCCCAAGCTTCTCTAACGCCTAGTTTCTCAATTCCTCTATAAATTGAGAATTCCAACATACCAAGAAGGTTGAAGAAACAAGAAAGCAAGCATTAACAAGTCATATTTTCATTCTCTTAAAAAAATCAAGAGTTTTAGAGTCAAAAGTCCATATTTGTTGTATCCAAGCCATCTTTGTTGTATTAATTCATCAATATCCTTGTGCTTCATTAGGCAAACACTTAGCCTTTGATAGGTTTTCTAGTTTACATTTCAATTGAGTGATTTTGTAATCAAAAGGTTGTTATGAAAATAGGGTTCAGCCCTATGTAATTGGATTTTGGACCAATCAAAGGCCATGGGCTTTGATCTTTCTTTTACACAAAGCTCTAGCTACTTAATAAAAAAAGATGAGACTATTTTAAGGTGGAGTTACCAAAAGCCAAGAAGAGAACGAAGAAAAGCCAAAAAAATAGAGAGAAAAAAAAGAAAGGAAAGTTGGATGAATAGAAGTCGATCCGTGATTCGATTGAGCTGAAGCTTTATCAGCAGGTTTATGATTTCGAGTTTTACATTTTGAACGGTGAAAATTGAGTTTGAAGCTCTCTAGGAACAAGTTCAGTGTGTATCTGTTGAGTTACTTATTTGGTAAAATTTTTTCAATTATCTCTCTAGTTGTTGATTAGCTCTAGTTTTAGCTAAAAAAAACTTTATATATCTATTATTTGATAGTAAAGATTTTTCTGATAGTCTGTGATTTTTCTCTCTACATTAGAAGATTTTTCATGTAAATCTTGATATGCTTTATTTTTTTTATATTTTGTATTGTTGATTGTTGCCTATTGCTGTGGGTTTATTGTGATATATTACTTCTGCATTGTTGTGTTTATTGCTTCAGGCTTAACAAGTGGTATTAAAACGAAGGTTATTTTGAGATAACGATATAGAAATAGCCCAAGACAGAAGTAAATTCTGTTTGAGATCATGAAAAGTGATACAAATTCCATAATAAAATTGATAGCATCAAATTATTCAATTTAGAAGCCTTTGATGGAAGTCATTTATACTGTAAAGATTTGTATGAGCCGGTATTAAGTAATTCGGCTAAACTAACAAATATGAAAGATGAAACTGAAAGAAAAT